ATAAGTTGTATACGGTAAAAAGTTGAATTAGCAAAAGTTGTGTGACAGACATTTACAACAATGACCAAAAAAAGACAGGAAAAAGAAAAAAAAGCAGCTCCTGAGGCTGCTACGTACAACCAAAATCTTCATGGGATTTGCTTTTCTGGTTTAGAAGTTTAGGGTCATGGTTTCACAGGACATCCCAGTTAACTGGCCCAATAATTTGTTCAGTGCTTCTTTCTACCTCCCAGTTTGTTGCACAGTGCCTGGGGTCTTAAAAGCTTGTAAGCAGCCATCCAAGGCAAAACAATTGGTCTCTATTCACCTGGAGCAACAGAGGAAGAAGAAGCATCAGAAAAGAGGATATGGAATGTGTGGCTAATTAACTCCATGAACAACTGCCTTCTCTACCATGAGACTGGAAGAACCAGATGGCTACTGTTACCAATCATTTTTATCAAAGATTCTATAGAAGAATCCTGATCCAAACAGAAAAAATGCAGAAGAGAATTTCTAATTCTCATGGACTCCAGACTTACTGGAGCCATGGAAGGTGGATGAACCCCTAAAACTATTGCCCTGAGATAATCTTTAAACCTTAAACCAAAAAAGTCCCTGAAGTCTTCTTAAAACCAAACAACTGTTTAGCTTAAACAGTAAAAAATGTCTGCCTTGAGCGCTGTGCTCTTTTAAGAACTATCTACATGGGATCAAACTGACAACAGCAACCTGAAAGATTAGATAGGAACCTTAGAGGACAGTGAATTTATGTCAATGGGGGATGAAAAACTATGAAAAGGAGGGTGAGAATGGTTGCACAACTCAAAAAATCTTATCAGTGTTACTAAATGGTACATGCAGAAACTGCTGAATCGGTATATATTTTGCTGTGTGCATTCTCAACAACAACAACAACAAAATATATATATATATGTATTTTTACTATTTCATTGTGCTGCCACTAGGGATGCAATGTGAATTCCAATACATGACCCAAGAAAAATCACTTTACTTTGAGACTCACAAGAGTCCAGGTTGGGACTTGTGATACAAGCTGAGCAATAAAACAGAGAAGAGTTCCAACCGGGAATCCAGAGCCAATACTAGGGAGTTTGTACCCTACTAGTCCAAGTCAAAGGAACCCTGGTGGTGCAGTGGTTAAGCACCCAGCTTCTAACCAAACGGTTTGTGGTTCAAACCCACCAGCCACTACAATGGAGAAAGATGTGGCATTCTGCTTCTGTAAAGATTTACAGCCTTGGAAACCCTATGGGTCAGTTCTACTCTGTCACAGAGTCACTACGAGTTGGAATCGATTTGATGGCAATGGGTTTATTCCAAGTCAAAAGAGCCCTGGTTGCGCAGTGGTTAAGCACGCAGCTTCTAGCCAAAAGGCAGGCAATTTGAACCCACCAGCTGCACCACAGCAGAAAGATGTGGCATTCTGCTTCCATAAAGATTTACAGCCTTGGAAACCCTATAGGGCAGTTCTACCATCATATACAGTTACAGCCGCTACGAGGTGGAATCGAATTGATGGTAACGGGTTTATTCCAAGTCAAAGGAGCCCTGATGGCACAGTGGTTAAGCATTCAGCTGTTAACCGCAAGGTTAGCAGTTCAAGCCTACTAGCAGATCATGGAAGAAATATGTGACAGTCTGCTTCCATAAAGATTACTGCCTTGGAAACCCTATGGGGCAGTTCTACTCTGTCCTATATGGTCACTATGTGTTGGAGGTGATTCAACGGCAATCAGTTTGGTTCAACGGGTTATTCCAAGTCAGGTATGCTGTTGGTCTTAGGTCAGGAAATACCCTGGTGGGAGCTAGAAAAGAACTGAGGAGCAAAAGCTACCTCTGATAACAACAAACTCATATTCGTCTAACCAATTAACCAGTATCTATTAAACTCCCACCCATATGTAAAAAGTTCCAGTATATACACACATAAGCCTACATCTGTTTATCTACTTATTATAAATAAATTATATACTATATAAACTTGTCCTGATTGTTGACCTGAATATTTGCATTTCCCAGTCATCATGTATTGGGTTAGTTTAACTTTTAAATTAAAATACCCACATTAGATGATGCTAAGAATATAAACTGCAAACAGGCAACACCAACTAAAACCACCAAACAACTTCAAGTATACAGGTCCTGTGGGGTAGCTCCCTCACCACCCTCAAACTCACCACCACCATCATTAAATACTCCCTAGTCCTAGCAGCTGAACTTCCCAACAGGATGGCAGCCCCAGAGTTTAGGAAAGAAAAGGAAGAAATAGGACAAAGAAACAGGACTAGAAAAGGGAAAAGGAAGAGTGAAGGGAGAAGCAAAATTGTGGGAACAACAGGGATTCTACTCTAGCTCCACCACTGACCTGGGCAAGAATCTGTACTTCTCTGAGCCAGATTCCTTTTATCCACGTCTTGAGGATAGCAGATTAGATGGCCTTTGAAAGCCTGGCTGATAAGAACATTTAAAACCACTGAAAAATCAGTTCAATTCTGTTCTGATACCAACTGCAAATGCAGTACTTCCTCTGACCCTAACTACCAGAGCAAGGTCAGACTGCACAAGTTTAAGGGCACAGGTCTCCAGACAGTCAAGTCGGCCCCAGACTTCAGATACCAGCCATAAGCTTGAAGGTCCCCACAACATCCTCACTTCTGATTTGCTGGCTACAAATTTGTGGTTTGCCACTACCCTCTCAGGATAGGAGCCATAAGCTTGGGGGTCCCCAGGCACCCTTCACTTATGACCTCTTGGCAACAATTTGGGGGTTCCCTGTACTCCTTCAGGATGCCAGTTGTAAACTTGGGGTCCCCAGGTCCCCTTCACTTCTGACCTGCTGGTTACAAATTTGGGGGTTCCTATTACCCCCTTGGGTATGATAATTCAATAGAACGAATCACACAACTCAAGAAAGCGCTATGCTTACAATTACAGTTTTATGATAGCAAAAAGGACAAAAATGAAAAAGACACGTAGGGTGAGGTCTAAAAACATTCTCAGCGTAGCACTTCCATGTCCCAAATGTATGATCCTCCTCCGCACACTGATGTCCATCACCAGCCAGGAAGCTCATGGAGGTTCAGTGTCCCCAACTTTTATTGAGGTCTCACTAAGCAGACATAATTAATTTAACCATTGCCTAAACGGCTGAATGTAACCTTGAGATTCCCCCTACCCAGAAGTCAGCCTAATACCACATGGTGGGCCTTTCTGGCATGGCCAGCCCCTATCCCAGACTCAACGCATTAGCATAGGTATGATCTGGGCCCTCACAGATAACACGAACAACTGTTATATAACAAAGAGTCCAATCACTGGGGAATTCTAAGGTTTTAAAAGTTCTCTCAGAAACCAAGGACAAAGACCAAAATCTTTGGGTAAAGTTAATTGTGGGTATGGGTAAAGTTAATTGTGGGTAGGTGGGTGGCACAAACTTGACTACTAGCAGAAAGGTTGGCAGTTCAAACCTACCCACAGGTGCCTCAGAAGACAGGCCTGAAGATATGATTTCAAAAGGTCACAGCTTTGAAAACCTATGGAGCACAGGTCTACTCTGCACATGGGGTCACCATGAGTCAGAATCAATTCACTGGCAACTAACAACAACAAAGTTAATTGTAAACCCCACAGTCTCGTATATAACACAATCACAATCTCACAAAACACAGTTAGAGCCCTGGTGGCATAAACAGCTCAGAGCTTGGCTGCTAACTGGAAGGTTGGCAGTTTGAACCCACCCAGCAACTCCAAAGGAGAAAGACCCAGCGATCTGCTTCTCTAAAGATTACAGCCAAGAAAAACCTATGGGGCAGTTAAACTCTGTCACATGGGGTCGCTATGAATTGGAATTGACTTAAAGGCACCTAACAGTAACAACAACAACAACAATATTCAAGGAGTCTAATAAAAGGAGTTTAAAACCCTTTCATGACCTGTGGGATACACCGGTGCCCACTTTTTTCTGCCCCTGGAGTTCTTTGGTAAGGCGGTATCCTGGTTTTAGTGCATTGAGCCTCAAGGTGGGTGCTATTATTGTGTTGATTGGGTATTGTATGAGGTGATGCATCCTGGATGTGTGCATCTGCTAAACTTTTGTCTGTTTTGCTTTTTTCTGTTGAGATAAGCGTCCTCAGTAAATTTCCTGGCTACTGTGTTCTCATTAGAATGTACTTATCACAAGAATAAGCTATTCTTAGTTTTCATTCATTCACAGTCGCCATTTTCTTCCTGAACGCCATTCATTGCTTCCAGGTGTTACAGGGATCCCTGCTCAGCTTAGAGTTGCTGCCCTGCAATCTTCCAGGACTGCTTTTCTTGCCTCTGAACTGTAAGTACTGCCTTTCTAATAAGGAAGAATGCATTGCAGCGGTAATTTTCAAGAGAATCAAATTCTTATTAAGTTATTCTTAGCCTGCATTCATTCTCAGGTCCCATTCATTGCTTCCTACAATATTCCAGGACTGCTGTTCTTGTATCTTAAATGTAAGTACTACTTTGGCAATAATGAAGAATACATTGTAATAGTAATTTTCCTGAGATACAGATTCTTTGGTTTTTATTTACTTGGGCAGAAACCTTGATTTATATAATTTTATCCCCTTGTATATTCTCATGGTTGTTTGGAGGTATGCTATAGGTATTATCCTAGTTTTGTAGAACCAACAACTATTTTTTTCTGATACATTTCTCTGTGAGATGTATGTATTACACTATGTTTCAAGAAGTTTCACGAAAACTCGTAAAAAGGCTAAGAAGGAGGAGGTTGGAATAAAATTTAAGCGCAGTCTTTGCCAGGTGCCTTTGTAATTAATGCAACAGTTGTTTGATATTTTTCTTGGATACAGGCAAATTAAATAAGGGCCCTTGATAGAACATAACCTACTTTGCACTTTAACCATAATGTGCTTACAAAATTTTCTAACAATACAAAGAAACAGAACTTAACATGAAATAACTTAAATATCATGTCAAAATTGCAAATAAATACAAAAACTTACCATCCCTGTTCGTTTTTATACTTGTAAGCAGCCCCAAGAACGTGACACAAAGTACCCCCAGCTTTGAAATCCATGAAGCATTTTGCCTAAAAAGGATACAAGTTACACATGAGAAAAATAAAGGTACTGACAAAAAATCTGAATTCTGAGTTTTGTAAACTCAAAAATTTAACAACTGCTAATTCAGTAACTTCTTTAAATACTTTCTGGAATAAACTGAGATATAAACACATTTTCCTAAAAGTGGATAAAAAATATTTCTTTTTAAATTCCATTAACATTATTCTTTAAGAAAATAGTGAGAAACAACATTTACAAAAGATAAATCAAAATCTTTTAACAAGAAACACTAATGGACGAAACAGTGATATAATACAAACTTCACTGGTAAATTTAAAAACTGATTTTTAAAATGTCTAAAATTCCAGCCACGCCCAATTTCCAACAATACAGTTTTCCTGTAAAAGAAGAAATATTTGTATACCAAGGTATTTTTTCCCCATTTAGGTTCCTGGCTTTAAATTATAGAAAAATGGTACCTGAATTTTGTTATTATAATACTTCAATGATAAAATATGGTATAGTTACATACTTAACTACTGTATGACCTAATAGCCATAATTTTTTAAAAATCTGCACTTCAAGGATTATAAAAACCCGTTGTTGTCAGGTTGATTCCAACTCATAGCGACCCTATAAGACAGAGTAGAACGCTTCACTGGGTTTCTAAGGAGTAGCTGGTGGATGTGAACTGCCGACCTGGTTAGCAGCCTGAGCTCTTAACTACTGTGCCACCAGGGCTCCCAGGATTAGAATAGCTCAAATAAATCAAATGTTGACTGACTTCCAAATTACAGAGGTAAAAGCAATATAACTAACCATCGAATAGAATAAGTAAAATAAAGTGACAGAAACACATCATGCATTTTTTTCTCTGAAAACTGTTATAACAAAATAATAGACTGAAAAGAACTACATGACACCAAATATTCAGAATCATTAAGATGAAATCTTCCAAATTAAGCTGCCAAGTACACTCTCCAAGTCAGTCTGGTTAACCTATCACTTTTTAAATGTATGAGTTCTGAGTTCCTACTTTTTTGCCCAGCCCTACTTTTTGGCTCAACACTATACCCAGTACATCCCAAATGCTGCATTATGTACTCCTAAAAAAATACATCTGGGTACAATTCTGATCCATTGACAACTTACTTACCTGCACAAATACACAAGCATTATAATTTTATAGTGTTGGCATCTTAAAGTACAATAATGTGCTAGATGGGAACCTGATGAAGAGCAGAATGAGACTAAGTTCTGCTACCAGAACTGTTCCGTGAACCCCCATTAATACTGCACCACTCAAAACACGTACTAAAATGACTGGTTTATAGACTAATCTGGGCTTTTAATGCCTTGAGGACAGGAACAGTGTCCCACTCAAAGCTGTAAAACCAGTATTCGGCAGAATATTCCATAATGTAGGTGCTGCATAAAAATTCTCATCAATTCAACTGTATTGAAACCACTTAAAAAATTCAGATCCACACTATTGAGAAATACATATTGAGCAGACCAGAAAAAAAAAAAAATTATATACACAATTCAAGGAAAGGTCAATTTCTTGATAGATATTAAATTTGAGAAATTAAATCATTACCAGGTTTATACTTAAGACAGACAGAAAAATCACTTCTATAAGCCACTACAGGGACTGGTAAAAAGAATGAAGTAGAAAACTTTAATCATCCAGTGCTAAGATCTGAATTAAGGGAAGACAGAGACTTGTGAACCTATCATGGGCACTAGTTCCAGTAATAAAGTGCAACAAGGAAAACATCCTTAAAGATGTGGCAGACAATTAATGTAACTGATGTCAATAAGCTGTACACCTGAAAAAGGTCCAACTGGCAGATGGTGTGTGATATATTTACAGCAGTAACAACAACAACAAAGAGCAGCTACTAAGGCTGCTTATAAATAACCACACACCTCATGGGATTGGTTTCTTGGTTTGGAGGCTGACAGTCAAGATTTCATGGGACAATCCAGTTAAACTGGCCTAACACAGCTGTAAGTGCTTCTGTTCTACCTCCTAGTTCTTTGTGTAGTGCTTGGGGTCTTAAAAGCTTGCAAGCTGCCATCCACGGTACAATAATTGGTCTCTGTTCGCCCAGAGAAACAGAGGAAGAAGGAGAGTCAGGAACAGGAGGGAGAATATGGAATGTGTGCCTAATTGCCTCTGTGAACAACTGCCTCCTTTGCCATGAGACCAGAAGAACTGGGTGGTGCCCAGCTACCATTACTGAACATTTTGAAAAAAAGATTCTATAGAAGAATCCTGATCTAAAGGGGGAAAATGCAGAATAGAAGTGAAGTCTAGAGACTTTCTGGAGCCATTTAGGCTGGATTAACCTCTGAAACCACTGCCCTGAGATAATCTTTAAACCTTAAACCAAAAACATTCCCTAAGTCTTCCTTAAACCAAACAGCAGTCTAGCATAATTAGCAAAGAATGCCTGCCTTGAGCATCGTGCTGTTTTAAAGATCTAGATGGCATCAAATTGACAACAGCAGCAACTCAAAAGGTTAGATAGGAAGCTTAGGGGGCAGTGAGTTTATGTTAATGAGGGAGGAACAATTTGGAAAAGGAGAGTGAGAATGGTTGTACAACTTAAGAACATAATCAATGTCGCTGAATTGTACATGTAGGAACTGTTGAACTGTTGTATGCTGTGTATATTCTCAACAAAAAATGAATTTAAAAAAATAAAGGTGAAAGGGGACACTTAGTTTCTGTTAAGGGTGATGGAAAAATGTGAAAATGGATAATGGCAATGGCTGCATAACATGAAAAATACAACGTCATTGAATTGTACATGTGAAGAATTTCGAAGGGGCAAATATTATGTACCAAAAATCCACTGCCGTCAATACCAATTCCAACTTTTCGCGATCCTACAGGACAGAGTAGAACTGTCCCATAGGGTTTCTAATCCTGCAATCTTTATGGAAGCAAACTGCCACATCTTTCTCCTGTGGAGTGGCTGGTGGGTTCAAACCACCAACCATTCTTTCGATTAGCAGCTGAGCACTTAACCAATGCTCCACCAGGGCTCCTTGTTTTGTTACATAGGTATTTACAAAAAAAAAAAAAAAAAAAGACAAACTACCGTACAGAAAAGAATTAACACAGCAGGCTTGAGACTAATATCCTTAGTAAAGCCTCTCTGCAAGGCTGGCCTTTGGTCAAAGAATTTGACTCTCAAAGTGTTTCAAATCAACAGTTGGGGTAAGGGTGGGTCACTGCGCCTAGATATTTGTGCAAACAATATCATTTATGAAGACGACCTGCTTTTCTTGTGGGAGTCTGGAGTTTTGGCATATGCTAGGCAGAGGTACCTAAATGACCAGTCCCCAGGAAAAATAGAGGGCAGGGAGTCCTAACAGGCTTCTCTGAACAGAAAAATCGCATTATATGTTGCTGTATTTTTGCTGTTGGGAAAAGACTGTAATCTGTATGAACCTCTCATGTGAGGGAGAGAGCATAAAAAAGACTTTACGTGGATTCCTCTAGATTTCACCTGTGTCTTTTTCCCTTATGATCTGGCCGTGTATCCCTACTATCATCTTAGCCAAGAGTACAAGTATATGCCAAGTTCCATGAGTCGTCCTAGTGAATCTCCAAACATGAGGGTGGTCTTGGGGACCCACACTCAACCTCCCCCCAAAAAATAACTTTAAAAGACAATTCACGTTTCCATTTGTCCAGTTTTCCAGTCTCTTCCTGCCTTCTCATCTTTGCTTTTGGACAAATGGAAATGAAGAACCTGAGATGGAAAGGGGGAGAGCGCTGACATGCTGCAGGGATTTCAACCAATGTCGTGAAACAATTTGTGTATAAACTGCTGAATAAGAAACTAAAAAACAAAAAACAATTTACAAAAAAGATGTACAAATGGTCAATAAGCACACAAAAAGATGCTCAACAGCATTACTCACTAGGAAAATGCAAATTAAAATCACAATGAGATTCTACTACACACTCACTAGAATGACTAAAAATATAGACAAATCATATCAAGTGCTGACAACGATGTGAACAAACTGGAACTCTCATACACTACTGACAGTGTATGCAAAATGGTACCATCATCAGGGCTTCGAACTGGTTTGTTCCAGTTTGACCACCTGCTGAGAATTTGCCTTTCCACTCCCGATATACTGAATCAGAATGTACATTTTATGAAGATCTCTTACATAAGAAATCACCTGGGGATATGTATCACCTGGGGATCTTGTTAAAATGTAGATTCTGATTCAGATATCTGGGGTGGAAAATGGAATTCTCAGCAGGGGATCAAAATGGACTGAACTGATTCGAGACCCTGGCCATCACTTCAGGGAACAGTTTGGCGGTTTCTAGAAAAGTTAAACATTTATCTACCCTATGATCCAACAGTTCCATGTCTGTTTAGTCAAGAGAAATGAAAACACGTCAACACGAAGACTTATACACTAACACTGATAGCAGCTTTGCTTACGTTAACACAAAACTGGAAAACATCCAAATAGCCAAATTTCCATCAACCAGTGAAAGGTTAAAATAAATTGTGGCTTAGCCATAAAATGGAATATTAATTAGCAATACAAAGGGACAAATTATATATGGAACAACATGGATGTTATCTCAAAACCATTATGCCGAGTGAAAAAAACCAGGTAGTCCCCAACTTACAACAGGATTCCGTTCCAACGGCTCCATCATAAGTCAGTTCTGATGTAAGTCGAATACTTTTTTTTTTTTAAGTTTTCATTACTGTCCACTATCCAGCAATGTTTTGAACAGTAAATGATAACACTGAACACCTGCGAGTGACTCTGAGAATGACAACATCAGTAAATTACAAGCTGCAACACTGTATGTAGTATATACTACTAATGATAAGATGTACCAAAAAAAAAAACAGACAATTGTTAAGTGTGGGTCGTCATAACTCGAATACACCGTAAGTCAGGGACTACCTGTATACTGTACGCTTGCATTTATATAAGGAGTCCCTGGGTGGCACAGTTATGCACTCAA